TTTTGAATTTTAAGAGATTCCAAGAAGAAATCTTGCTTTGTATTCGATATAGAGAATAATCTAAACCTCTTTGTCTCTTTAATTCCAGTATATTTATCATGATTTCTACTACATATTGATGTGTTGTTTTGTGCATAATGTCCGAGTAATCACATAGAACCAACTAAACTAGTACTAAAATGGTAGGGAATAAGAGTTTACTCTTAATCTGTCGTTATTACTGGGTAGGTGAAGCTCTACAAAAGGGTGTCATTGTCTTCCTCCAAAGTTTAATCTATATACAACAACAAAATCTTCTAACTTATACTTACAATTTTGGACCGTCCACACAAGCGCTTAACGAAAAATCTTCATATATCCGGCATTGAATGTTATTCGATGACTCACTCTTTTTTAGTGGTCTTAATTAGACGACGTGGTTCCTAATGACTAAATTAGTCCTAGTTAAGATCTAATGAGATTTTCAATTCCCGCCAAAATTTGTTTCACACGTGTTTTGGTTAAGGAGCAAAATCGTCAAAACACCAGATAAGCCAATAAGTTTTACTTCACACAAAATCAACTTTTTTATATTTCTAATTAGCAATCCAAATTTTGTTTTGGGCTAATTAAAATAATATCACCTTTAAGAGAGAAAATTAGGTAAGTAACTTGTTTAGATAATATAATTAGGTGAATAGTAGAGAGAATTAAATATATGAAGAAATCACCCTTATAAATATAACTAAAGTAAGCATGAAAAATTTCTAAAAAAAATATATTATTATCATCTCTATAAAAATTGTCTCTACAGCTATGTCTTTATCTCTTAAAGAGTAGATCTTCTCTGCAAATAAAATAAAATTGAGTTAGAAAACCAGAAAAACAAATATGTTATAACAGTTAACTACTTCTTTTGTTTCAATTTAATTGATGTTATAGATTTTTTTTCTTTTCATATTACTTTGATTTTCTCATGTTTCTATGCATAGTTTTACTCACTTTTATTGTTTATGACTATTCATATTTTGCGATCTTTTAATTATTGGTCAAATACCTTTTATTTATGATGAGAAATGAAATTTTTATATTGGAAAAAACAAAAATACATATGTGAATTTATCTTAAACACCAAATATATTGAAACAAATGGAGTACTTAATAATATAGTTGGTATTCTCGAAGTTACATATTCTATTGATATCTGAATACAGTTAGCTACCTCACACTATCTTGTAATAGTTAGCTACCTCAGACTATTTTGTAACTATCTATAACAAAACATAATTAATTATTTTTCACAAAATAGTTACCAATTTAAAAGCATAGTTAACTATTTTCAAATGATGTCTATTTTACCGATTTCATGACACAGTTGACTTCACGAAAATGTTGTTATAATAGTTAGTTACTTATTTAAACAAACATAGTTAACTCTGTTCATAACATAGTTATCTATTATAGATTTCATTACGAAAAAGATAAAATACGTAGTTAATTATTATTAGAAACAAAATTACATACCAAAGTTTGCATAATAAAAAAATAACATACATATTTAACTATTATCTGAAATATAGTTACCTAATATACTTATTTCCAAATATAGTTAACTATATTGATCTCCAGCACCAGCTTAATTTAATCAGGAAAGGGGAATCCATGACAACGAGATAAGACAAAGTAATTGAAAGTTGGGTTTGTGGATCACCAGAGAGAGACGAGATCGATTATTGTGTTTGTGTCAGACA